GAAAAGAGCCCTGTTGGATGTCTAGAAACCATGCCTTGGGAAGAGACATTGAAAGTGCAAGATACATTTCAGCTGGAGGATAATTGAAGAATATGGAAGGACTATTCAGATGCAGAAAGGATGTCACATAGAATCAGAACCTTTTTGCTTTCTAGTCCAAATGTTCAATACATATAAATATGGATTTAAGTTGCAGAAAGGTAGATTATGTTTTTTAGAGGGAACAAACATTTAACAGTAGATGAACAATGGAACTAACCACAGTGAGAGACAATGGTCTCTCCTTCAGCTGACATGCTTAAGTGGAGACAATACAGCTGGAAAGCTTTGATTTGGGAGTCTTGCTATGAGCAGAACATTGGATTTAAGGGTGTAAATGGCCACTCCAATATGTCTGCTAAGAATTATATAAAATTATTCTCTTTGGTCCTGGTATCTCCCTCTTTTTTAATATTGCAGTTTTGACATGCACCATTAGGCACAAGACAAGAGAAGTTGGGAAATTTATTAACCCTCAAAATCTTACATTCCAAGTCCATATCTCCAAGGCTAATAATCAGACAATATGAGAATCTGGAGATACACAGGTTGAGTCTAGAGACCACAGATCATTCAGCTCTTCTCAGTGTGATAGTGCATTACAAAAATAGAAGTTTGGTAGAATACTTAATATAGCACTGTATCCAAGGGTGGGGTTCTACCGGTTCTGTCCACCTCTCTAGAACTGGTAGTTCTGAAGAGCAGCAGACACAGAACCGGTTCTATATCTGCTGCTGTTTTGGCCCACCCGCCCAGGCTCTTACCTGACCCTTATTTCCTGCTTTTTTCAACTGCAGCTGCTTTGCGTGACACAGTTGCAGTTGAAAAAGCAGGAAACAAGGGCTTTTCCAACTGCTGCGCACTTGCACGCAGTGCTGCTCAGCTGTCTGGGCAGCTCAGCAGATCGTAAATTGCACTCGCACAATTCGCGCGACTTGTGCATGCGACGCAGAGCGACAGAACCGGTAGTTATACCACTCGGATCCCATCCCTGACTGTATCCCATTTAGCTGAATAGCATAGAAGCGTTTCTTCAAATCTTTCCCTGTCAACATAGAGTAGACAGATGATGTATATACCCCTATATCCTCTACAAAATCAGACAATTCCTTATGCTTAAGTACTGAGGCTTAGAAAGCAGGCAAAATGTTATTATACACAAGTCACATAAAACATTGTAATATTTAACTGGTTTACTCTGAACTTTAAAACAGCTGTAGTAGCTCCTCTAAAATGCTGCTGAATCCTTTGTTGGAAACTATATTTATTTTTATTTAAATGAGCACTTGACAGATAAGCTGACACCTCATTATTCATCAACAGTGCTTATGTTTTATATCACACTTTTCAAAATCGGCTGTGCATGAAGAGTGGTTTTGAATTAATTTTTCTTTCCTTTTTCCACCAAAAGATGTATAATGAAAAACAGTTTACTCTGTATGAAGTATTAATGCCCTGATGCCAGTAGTTCATTTGAAGAGGATGGAACATATATAAGTTATATGATCATTATATTTGTTGCATAAACTCATTTGCTTCTGAAAATCAGATTGATACTACTCCACTATGGGCACTAGTGTCATGAGGAATGATCTAGTACAGGAATGATCTTTATAACACATGGCTGCATTTGAAATATCTATCAGGTTTCCCTTATAGTGGAATCTTATGAATTATATTAGAATATAACACTTCTTCATCTCCAGTTAGTATGGTCAATCATCATACCAAATATATCTAGAGATGATAGTGCCCTGTAACCCTGCTTTGCCTTTTTATTTTATGTTTTGTTGTTTTTAACTATTTTATCATAATATTTACATATAGATTTTATGTTTATTTGTATACCATCTCTGCGAGGGAGATGGGTAATTTCTAAATTCAATAAATAAAATATGGGAAAGACCTATGTGTTTACTAAATTTTATAAAGCCAGAGGTTTATAAGGTTTATGAGAGGTTTACAGTACATATTTTGAAAAGGCAGAGCTATGCTATCTATTTTGCTACTTGTAACAGGGGTGTGATTCAAACAGTGTAACAACCGGTTCAGTGAGCGAGTGAGCAAGTGAGCGCCAAATGCATGCTCTGCGCACATGTACCACATTTAAAAACGCTAATACTTACCTTCAACTGCGGCTGAAGATAACAGCTGAGGCGTGTCAAACTGTTCTGCTGCGCGAATCAGCTGTGCTCTAACAAAACGACGTAAGCACAGGAAAGAATAGGGGCAGGTGGGTGGACTCACATGCTCATTGGAGTAAACCAGTTCGGAGCCAGGAGAATCCTACCCTTGACTTGTAACTATAGTTCCTTCGTTGTAATATAAAATCAAAAGTGGCCATTCTAATGGGTCGTGGTTGTCCGTTCATTAAAATGCATTGCCAGCATTGTCAGAAAGAAAAGAATTAACACTGATTCTGTTCACATAGGCTTTCAAGTTTTCCTTGTTTTTAACCAGCAACAGAAAATAGCTGATTCACAAGCTATGCTGAAAACAGCATGTTAAAACTGTCTGTAAAGCAAGAGTAATCTGCCTGCATTGCTGTTATCTCCTGTCCTCTTATTAGCAGTATGTAACACCTCACAGCTGGTCAATAAGAATATCAAGACTCTTCAAACTATGCCAAGCACCTAGGCTCAACCAATTCTACTGACTATAGTCCAGATTTGCTGATGTGCAAGTTACAAAAGAAGTTAAACCAGTTTCACTTCCATGGCTGAAAATGAGAAATCCTTATAGCAGTATTGGTGGATTAAGCATCCACAATAAACCCTTAAGTTATGTGAATTGGCCGGAATCTCATGACTCCTGGCAAACTACACTATATCTAATTATGTCCTACACACCATCCTTCAATCTTAAGACAACTGAGACTAATCTACTCCAGATATTCATAATCTTCCCCATCCCTTCCATTTATGATCTTTTTTTATGAGATCGCTTTTATCCGCCTTTATTGGCTCTAATAGCAAACCCCTTTCCCTTGGGGTGATTCTCCTATTTAATTTGTTGTGTGCAAATGTCTGCAGTTCCAAATAATCCAGTTGAGATCATACTATCTACTATTAAAATTCTTTATTTTCCTCTGGAACAATATCCCTCATTTCTTTAAAAATATTTTACATAAGAAATCTTCTTTTGTCTACTGCAATTACACTTTTCCTTATTGACAAAGTTCAACCATATCCAGATGCATTACTTACATTAATGTGGGGATATTTTGTTTCTATAACTTCTTTTAGGACACATGTTCTAGAAATAGGCAACACCAAACCAGTATACAATTTTCACAATTTAGGCTTCTTCTGATAAGAGATTTGAGTCACTTGGTCTCCCTTCTAACATAGTCTTAAATGCAAGATATAGTTATTTCTAAGGATGCCTATGTTCAAGTCCTTACTTAGTCATAAAACATGCTAGGCGACTTTGGGCTGATTAGCCAACTTTCCTTATAGAATTGTTGTCAAGAAAGGAGACCTCCAAATGTGTCTCTTTGAGGTCTTAGGAGAAAAATAATCATATACAGTAGAGTCCCTTCCAGTGGTGGGATTCACATTTTTTTTACTACCAGTTCTGTGGGCATGGCTTGGTGTGCATGGCATGGGAAGAATACTGTAAAATCTCCAGTCAGAGGTGGTATTTGCTGGTTCTCCAAACTACTCAAAATTTCCGTTACCAGTTCTCCAGAACTGGTCAGAACCTGCTAAATACCACCTTTACTCCTTTCCACTATTTGTGCAGCATCTCTTGAAAGCTGTTTATGGAATAGGGAAGGACAACCACTTCTGCCAGACCAACTAAGTGCATCTCCAGTTAAGGTGAAAGAGTTCTGCTTCAAATCTTATTTGTAAAGACAGTCAGGTTATCTATAGCCTTGGCTTATTCTTCTTCTCTCAATTCTTATAAGAACAATAGAATTGGGAAAATATATTATGTAGCTATTCTCAAGTTCCTTGGGAAGAAAACAGGGTATCAAATAATAAATAAGGATCTTGCACTTTAAGTATTAAAGTATGGACAGAAATTGTCCTGATAATCCAGAAACAATATCAGAAGGAGTGTTTCTGGATTCACAGGATCATGTCTTACTTTATTAAAAATCAGGGCCTGTAAGAAATACCAGACAATGTTGATTCCTAGGTTAACAGGACTATACCTCAGAGGTAGACAATGTACATGCCTTCTGTATGGAAGGTTCAAATTCAGGCCCACAACTTATTATCGATGTAAAATCCTTCCCTCTATATAACCAGTGCTGGCTTAAAAGGATTAGTGTTCCTGTGAACCCGGTTAAAGTGTGGGATGAGTTTTCCTGATGGTGCAAGTGTTTATCTGCAGTGAGTAATCCAGGCGGTTAACAATGAATTAGCAATTTTTATTTTTTAAAAAGGCTAAAAAGATACACTTGCTCTTCTTTTATGAGTAGAGATGACCTGGAAAGCAGAATATGATCTAATCAACGAAAGCCAACTGTGGCTGCTTTGTACTGAAACGTGATATTGTTTGTCGGAGTGTGAAAAGGATAGTTCCGTCTGTTCCTCTGGGTTGAAGAAGTTTTGGTCATGCTCCAGCTTCACTGTACAGATTCCAGTAATGCAGGGTTACTATAATCATGTGTGTGCTAAATGGAGCCAGCTGGAGAAGGTTCCTTCAGTACTGCTTTGCTTCTTTGGCAGCTTGTTTGATTTTTGTTAATACCATATGTATAATGCAGGGGAGCCCCTTCTCTAGACACCCTGTCTCATTTGTTGGCATGAAAAGAGCTGGGCGGTGGTGATGGTGCTGACACAGGCATGCTTACAGTATGATAATTAATAGGTGTGTGATCTCACAAGCAAGACTCCACCTCTGCAATGCTCAAGGATTTTAATTGCCTGCAAAATAATTTGAAATCACAATGAGAGAAGAGAAAACAGCTGTTTGATCTTAACTGATGTTGTCTTCTCTCTCTTTGCTAGAAGAGAAATATGTCACAATTCAGTCATATACCAGCCAGGGGAAGGATGAAATTAGTTTCGACAAGGGAGTCATTGTGGACGTCATTCAAAAGAACCTGGAAGGATGGTGGTACATAAGGTAATATCATTTTGGCATGTGCAAGCCTTTTGCTTCCAACAAAATCCTATATATTTCTATCAAAGATAGGATCCAAAAATGTTTCAAATATATAGAAATGCTAATAATGTTATGAAAGCCAGTTAAACTGATTGGATAATGTATGTAAAATAAGATTTACAGTTTGTAGATTTCTTCCACTAGGGAGAGAATAGAAGACTTCTGTCTTACAAATTAAAACCAAGTATAGCTGTTCTTGCATTTAAGAAGGATGGGTGGTTAAGTGGGTTTTCCAAAAAAAATTTCTATGGACTTTCCTAGTTTTTTCAATTAAAGCAGTGTTCCATAGGTTTGTAATATAATATTTTAAACTATGGGAAGCTTTTAGCACTCTGTGTTTGTGTGTATACATGTATGTAATTTTCATTCAGCTATAACAGAAGATTTTTAAAGAGCAGCATGATCTGCTAGCATATGTGTTGAATTTTTGCAAAGAAGAGGTAATCTTGGCTGTAATTCAAACACTTCCCTTCTGGTAGCTTTAAATGATTAGTTCCATGCAGAAACCCAGGGCTTATTTTTAATGACATAGTTCTAGATACATTAAATGCCACGTAGGCGTTTGCTGTGCTCAGCACAATACACTTTTTCTGGGTAATGCAATAAAGATCAAAAACACTCAAAAATATAAAATTGTTAACCATAACAGCCAGGTTTCAAACTGATCCTAATACTTTTGCTTCTTTCCTTTCTTAGAAGTATCCTACAGAATTTAGCTGGGTCTTTTCCCAAAGAATGATAAAGATTGCAGCCTTGCAGTTCAACTATTAAGTAAAATCACTATAATTCAAATGGAAAAAAGAATGTACTTGATTAAGAAGCCTGAATACCTGACTTTAAGTAGACCTGTAATAAAGGGTTGCCTTTATTACAGAACTTTCTTCAGGGTGACCCATTTCACCACCACCCCGGGTTCTGTGGATTATTTTCTGTTCATTTTACTTTGTATATAAAATAGATACGTTTCATAGTTTGTCATTTGCTTTTGTAGTTTGACTATCTTACAACACCTATGGTTTGAATAATGGAAACATACTGAGATCTATATATTCTATAAACATAGTGACACTAACATCTTCAGTACTAACTTTTCCATCAATAATAAAGGAAAGCTGATAGAGTGGGAGTAGACTCTTAACACTGTGAGCAGAGAATGGTTGGCCTTGTGTCAGCTCTGCATTCTTCTCTCTTTAAATCATTCTCTGGACTTTAATCCAAAGCCAAGGGTGCAGGAGCATTTGCAGGAGGAAAAACAATGTCACCAACTCTCCCTGATTTTACTTTTGAATTCCCTTTTTGTTTTTAAAGATTGATTTTGAACTAGCAAATTTTATTTTATCTTAAACCTAACAGAGCTTCAAAGTACTCAGCATTTTCACTTAAGATGACTACACTATAGGAACTTCTATATTATAATCAGAATTATCATCCACTCTGCTCACATTGCAGTCTAAAAATAAGCCATGTTTGTCTTTTTATTATACCAACCTTGAGAATGTCATTTTGTATCCTGCTCTCTTAGCTACTAATATAGCTGCAATGCTATATCCTGTATGTACAAAATGAATTAAATTTCTAGCTTGCCCTGTCCATCTTTTTTAGTAAAGAAATTTTACAACTTTTAAAGCAATCAAGTATCAAGGTACCTCTGTGTGTGTGTGTGTGTCTGTGTGTATTGGTGTGTTTGTGTTTGTGTGTGTGTATGGTGGTTGAGGGGTGGAGGGCAGAGGTTGCCTTTACGGGAAACTTATTAAAGGAGGATATTGTTCTTACAAAGAAGATAAAGAAAAAGAGAACACCAATATTTTTGCTGCTATTCTATTTTATTAAAAACTCCCATGATGAAATGAAATGGTATCATGTTGGTAATTTTACATTCAGACTTTTTTCCAACAGAGATTGTTACGTTTATATAATCACTAAATTGAGGGTGGAAGGTGGAGAAAGTCTAAATAAGCCATTCCCTAAATAACACCCTGCCAAAGTTTGTTGCCTCTGCTATGGCTTAAAGTCCACTTCAGTTACTTTAATAGTATAACAAAAATATTTTTTTATTCACACACAATTTCTGAGATTTAAGTTAACCTGTTATTGGTCCTGGCTGTCAAAACTTGAAAGGTTTGTTGAAACTGCTCATATTATTCGAGACTTGAAGATGTATACTTTGTGTCTTGGACTGTAATAATAGGATAGAAAAAGCCTATCTAGAATTAATTTATGTAGAAGTTAGATTTCCATAGGGTCTTCTTAATCCAACCTCTTTCCTTTGCATAATGTTAGCCAATTAAAGAGGCTTGCCCCAGGGCAATGGATATGACCAGCAGCTCAGACTTCATTGCTACCCAAATATAATAAACTTGGTGAACAGCTGAGAGGAATGTGCTTTGCTTCACATTTTGTTAGTGCTCAGTAATGAGAACTGATTCTTTAAATTATTCCTATTCTCTTCTTCCTCTAGTGTCATAATTGTATTAATTAGAATTTTTTTGTAGGTTAATCAAGGATAGCAGTTTTCTATTTAGATTATAAATGTGATGCCTTCTAAAAGTAGTACCAAAACAACAAATGTCAGATATACCCAAATGTAAATACAAAGGATATGAATATTTCATTATATCCATTATACATTTCTTACATCAGGTAGAGTCAGAAATACTGAAATTCTTGCATTCTTAGTTCTCTTTTCTTGTGGCTCTGTATTCCTTCCAATCATCTGCTGTGCTTTCCTTCATCCATTAAACATAATTACAAAGATTCATAAAAGATTACATGAAATGTTGCTAGGGATAAAAACAACACAGAAAAGGACATACATTGTGGCATCGTAAGTAGTTTTGAAAACTGATGATCCGTAGGAGAATTTGTGCCAACTACGTAGGTAATTGCTATAAACAGTACTTGTAAGAAAGTTTTTTATAATGGTGAGTTAGGTGTCACAGGAGGAACCAGTATAAATAATGGTGTAGCAAGTTCCACCTTAAACTCTTAACCTTCTCCTCCTTAAATATAAATACAAAATGCTGATTTTCATTTTTCTCCCCCTTCCACTCCCTTCCTGGTTTCCTTCCCTCTGAAATAATTCCAGTGTTCTGGAGCTGGAAAGCAGATGTTTTAAAAGGGAAAGAAAATGCTCAAACAGAGGCGATTTTGACCATTCGCCTTTTCCTTTAGTATTATAGTTCAAATATTGAGTTTTACCTTCAAAGAGCATTAAAACATCAGTGGATTTTTGGATAGAAACCTAATTATCCCCCTTTTGCTGCTCTACCTTATTACAGTCTTGATGGTATTCTACTTTCAGAACAAGAAAATCCTCTTTTCTCTCATTTTCTTCTTTTCTATACTTTTTCAGAAAATTGGCTAATAATTGTTGCATTAACATATACCACAAGTTTTCCATAAAAAGAGAGCTATGAAAACTAATGACTGATTTGTCCAATAAGATCACATGTTTAATAAAGGAGGTGGATTGTGTTCAATGCCATTTATTGGAAAGATATCAAGAAAGCTGCTTTGGGGGAGTAACTGCATGACATTGCTCTACCATCCATCATGTATTTATTTATTTTTATTTATTTGATTTGCCAATTGTTTACAAGATAATAAGTATAAGTGTATACATAGTTGTGAATACATGAAATGGGTACATATAAGAAAAATAAAAGAAGAATAAGAGAAACAATAGGACAGGGACGGTAGGCACGTTGGTGCGCTTATGCAAGCCCCCTACAGACCTCTTAGGAAAGGGGTGAGGTCAATAGTAGATAGTCTAAGGTTAAAGTTTTTGGGGTTTGGGGAAGAAACTACAGAGTTGGGTAGAGTATTCCAGACATTGACCACTCTAATGCTGAAGTCGTATTTCCTGCAATCAAGTTTGGTGCGGTTAACTTTGAGTTTGTATCTATTGTGTGCTCTTGTGTTGTTATGGTTGAAGCTGAAGTATTCATTGACAGGTAGGACATTGCAATGTATGATTTTATATACCATGCTTAAATCAGACCGAAGATGGCATAATTCAAGGTTTTCTAGTTCTAGAATTTCAAGTCTGGTGGCATAAGGTATTCTACAACGAGTAGAGGAGTGGAGAACTCTTCTTGTGAAATATTTCTGGACTTTCTCAATTGTGCTAATATCAGATACGTAATGTGGGTTCCAGACTGATGAACTGTATTCGAGTATTGGTCTAGCAAATGTTTTGTATGCTCTGGTTAGTAGTGTGATATTACCAGAGAAAAAGCTACGTAGGATTAGGTTAACAACTCTTAATGCCTTTTTGGCTATGTAGTTGCAGTGTGCTCTAGCACTTAGATCATTAGAGGTGAGTATTCCAAGGTCCTTTACAGAGCTTGGGTCATCAACAAGATCTTGACTATTCAGCTTGTATTTTATTTTCTGATTTTTTTTGCCAATATGTAAGACAGAGCATTTATTTGTTGAGATTTGAAGTTGCCATTTGTTTGACCATTCTGATACATAGTCAAGATCTTTTTGTAGGGTAGCAGTATTGTCTGTGGTATTGAACAACTTTACATCATCAGCGAAAAGAACGCAATTGCTCTTAATATGATCACAGAGGTCATTTATGTAGAGTATGAAGAGAGTTGGTCCTAGAACACTGCCTTGGGGAACACCACTATTGACAGGTACAGAATTTGATAGGACGCTCCCAATTTTGACCATTTGTTGTCTATTTGCCAGGAATGCTTCTATCCAGTTATGCAGTTGTCCAGAGATACCATAGGATTTTATTTTTAGGAGTAGTTTGTCGTGTACCACTGAATCAAAGGCTTTACAGAAGTCTATGTAGATTGCGTCTATTGCTTTGCCCTGGTCGAGTTGTGTCGTCCATATGTTTTTGCAGTGTAAGAGTTGCAGATTACAGGAGGTTTTTAAATTGTGCAGACAAGGAAGATATGGCACCTTGAAGTTTGGGGTTTCTAGGTTGGATCTTCCTCTTTGATTTTGTCACAGCTAGAGTGCTTTGATCCTAACAAGAATTCTGTTGCCTACAGGACCACCAGAAGAGTACTTGCAGAGCCATTTCCTGAGCTGACATGGAAGGAGCAGCAGGCTGCTTTATAGTGCATAGCTATATGAATTAATGCTAATTTAGTTTCTGCACCACATCATGTAATAATGGTGTAAGTAGCTAAACTGCAATCATTTTTGGTATTTTCAGATATTTAGACAAAGAAGGCTGGGCCCCAGCATCATATCTGAAGAAAGCAAAAGATGAGCTTCCCTCTCGGAAAAAGAATCTTACAGGACCAGTGGAAATTATAGGAAACATCATGGAGATCAGCAATTTGCTGAACAAGAAATCTTCCAGTGACAAGGAAACTCAGTCAGAAATTGAAACGACGGAATCACATGTTGCCAAGAAAGAAATAAGCTTGCCCATCTTATGCAATGACTCCAATGGCAATTTCATGATGACCCAAGACAAGCAGATTTCAAAGCAGGTGCAGGGATCTCCTGCCATAGCACGGATTGCCCCACAAAGAGCTCAGATAAGTAAGACCACAATGATCTTCTAACTTTCCCGCTCCCAAAGCTCTTGACTTAGAAACACAGATGAAATGGGACTGTAAATTGAGAAGTTAGAGGGCTTACGATTTAAACATTTTGCTGCTTCCTGAACACATCTGTCCATTTCGATATTTCTCAGCTGTTAATTTTTTTCAAATTTAATTTAGTTCTTTTCATTTCTTCATGAGTTTAAAATCTTATAAACATTTACACAAAAATGAGTTAGTTTGGGCAATACTGGTCCTTTGCATGCAATTATTTTTTGGCATGTGTAAGATTACATATACCTTATATGGGAATCTGCATCCCAAGTTTATATGAAGCTGAGATATGCATATTGTTCTGCATATGAATGTGCAATTACTCAGAAGAAGGCCTGTTTAATTCTGTGCTAAATTAATGCAAGATTGTAGCTTTAATCCTATAGCTCTTCAATAATGTTCTCTTTTATCATTCCTTGGAACATTCTGTAGCTACAATCCAAATTCTAGAGTTCTTAACATTCAGATAAGACAGTAATAAGCTACACGCTGTGACTGGCAATAGTGTGTGATAGAACTACTGATTACCTTCCTAAACTGTTTTTCCTACGCTGTTACATGAATTAAATAGCCATTAGTTGTTCATTCTATGCTTAAACAGCCATTAGTCTTTGCCCGTTTTTTTTTTGTCCCTAGAACTGTGTACACTTGAATTTGAGAGTAGCTTTAAAATTGCTAGTTACTCATGCTTTTGCTCTCTCTCTCTCTCTCTCTCTTTCTCTCTCTTGCTCTCTCTCTCGCTCTCTCGCTCTCTCTAGCATGCTTTTGCTCTCTTTCTTCTACACATACACCCACCCATGCACAAATGAAAAAAAACCACATACACAAATACACATACACACAAATATTAGTTATTTCAGGCTAAAGTGATTTATTGCTAAGAAACTGCCTAGACTGTGGACTGTAGGTTGCCATCCTACAGTCTACCTCAGTATTCATCCTACATCTAATACCTCCAAGATCTACGATAGACTGAAGGGTTTGAGTATATAAGAGTAATTATTGTTTCTTGAAAAGGCTCATAATAGCCCCTTCTGATCAGCCAGTATACTGCTTCTTAATATCCAGTTTCCTAGCCTGTTTCTATGTAAGGTGTATATATAAGCACAAAGCACATAGATTTACCATATAGTCAATCCATGAATCTAATCCTTGAATAAATGGACACAATGGACGTAATAGGTAGCACCATTCCATATAAAAGTTGTCTAAACAGAGTAATCTGTAAGTCTATAGTAAAAAAGCTGCAACTTTTTCATCTGCCAGGACTATTGATTTTTGCACATCTTTCCACAGTGAGGAATAATCTGCACATATGTGGGGGCATGCACACGTACACACACACACTGAAATCAGAAACAATCCATATGATTTTATCTCCACCCAATCCTAATCCCCCCAAAACCTACAGTATTGGAAACAACTTGAAACAGAGCTGAAATCCATATTAGTAGTCTTGGGATTATTTGTATGCTGAAAGGACTGTATATTTTTTTCATTTTTAGGATATTTATTATTATTATGGTATTTTATATTTATATTTGCTATTTTAATATTATTTTTATCTATTGTTGTGTGCTGCCCAGAGTTGCCTTGGGTGACCTAGGTGGCTATATACATGTAATTAGTAAGTAAATAATTGAAATTATTGTAGCCATTTCAGTCTAGTTTATGGTTTTCAATTGCTTGTCCAAGGAGAAGTAGTATACCAGCATTTTAATTTATTAAAAACTATTATCAGATTTTGGCAATCATATTTCTGGGCTTGTGTACTTCTGGTAGGTTAGCTGCAATCACTGCATTTGAGTCATTCTGCTTCTGTTTTGATAACCATATTCTGGAAATGATATTTGGAGACTAGTGACCCATTACTTTACAGTATTCGATACACAAGTTAAATTTTGAGACATTATTCTACAGCTGCATGGAGCTCATAAGATCATGAACAACTATAAAGTATGGTGTAATCACTATATTAATAAACATTTTCCTTTTTATATGTATGGAATGGAGACTACTAAATCAAACTTCAGTCCAGATAGATACAAGGCATTATTCATTTGATTTTGGATATAGTGTTTTGTCTTTTTGGAACAGACTGTACATTTGTCCACAGATCTGAATCCTGAGGTACAGAATTACGATCATTTAATGATAGTTCAAAGATATGACTGTCTCAGGAAAAGTGGGTTTGACCCATCCTCAAAGTTAAATGCCCCATGGTCAGATGATCACAATATAGGCATTTGGCAACCAGCTTGCAATTTTGATGGTTGCAGTGTCTTGCAGACATGTGATTATGACTGGCAGTCTTCTCTACTAGCTTCCAATAAGCAATTAGGAAAGCCAGATTCACTTAATAGTTGTGTTAAGCCATGCAATTTTTCCACAGCAATGGTAAAAATGATCATAAAATTTAGCCTGGTTACATGATAACTCTCTTAATGGCATTGCTTAGCAACTGCAATTTTGGTTCAATTGTGGTCGTAAATTGAAGACTACCTACATTTTTATACATTTTTGTACCCATCTTTGTCATCCCCAGTAGCATATGGAAAGGTTCTTTCCGTCTGGTAGTGTATCTGGTAGTAATTCCCTTCTTGTTAGAGAACCTGATCATGATTATTCCTCTCTTATAATAAGCCTCTTAAATTAAAGTAATACGTTGCATACAGATTTATTTTTTGAAATTTTCCTTGATGCAAAATATAAGAATTAGTTTGATAACTTAAAATGATGAAACCATATTTGCTTTACAAGTTTGAAATAGTAATACTGACATGCTGATTCAAGCTTAAATATGAGGATTGCCTGTAACTACTGGAACATGTAAGAATATTAGAATTGTTGAAAAAGCTGTTTTTTCAGGTCTAGAAGTCCAAGTAAAACAGTACAAGAAATATATTATTCTGGTCTGTTCTGGAATGTCCTGTAGAGCAGATTCTTTTCATCTGCTCAGGTTTTTTAAATACTGTGGCTATTAGAATATTTTTGATTGGAAAAAAACCCCTCTGAACTTAGAGTTAATAAACATCTTAGTAAATCACTTTTTACTCTTACTTACAATTTTACTGACAATAATTTGGAAATATTCCTTTTTTGTGAAGGTTCTCCAAATCTGCGTATGAAACCTCCTCCAAGAAGAGAATCTAGTTTGGTGAGTAGTGATTTTGTTTTTATATTTAAATCACTAAATATTTAGTATTACATGTTGCCTAATATTTAGAGCTTAAGTACAGGAAACCAGCCCTTGGTTTCTCCACTGAGCAATTAGGGAAACACTAGGTTAAGGTTTTTTTAAATCGTAAGAGAAAGTATTATGATCTGGATGACTGAATTCATTCATAATGGTAGTTAGGTAGTTCTCTATAAAGTTTTATCACTAAGGTATTGCTAATGTTTTTATATGAGGTGTACGAGAACATAAGAGTATTATTAGAGTATTAGTCAACCTTATTTTGAATCTTTCAGCCAAAGTGCTAAAGTGAAGCTCCAGCTTCATAGCCATAAATTTTGTGGAGATTCTACTGTGTGTTCTTTATTCAAAGTATGGCAATTTAGTACATATCAGAGTTAAGAGAATTTAAGATAGCCTTTCTCAATACAGTGTTTTTCAGTGTTTTCTATACAACTACCAATATTGGTATTTTGACCAATAGGACTTTTAGATGGGTCTAGGACACCCCGGCCAACTTGCCACGGGACATCTTGCCACGAGACGATTCAACAGAATAACTCAAGAGTGGGACAAGTTAATTTGCAGTGTGCCTTGTCTAGCTTTAGGTTTGAACCTTCTCAGGTTAGAGGTTCCAAAGGCTGGGGTGAGCTGCAATTCTACTTGTCCTTTGAGTTATCCCACATTGAATTGTCCCATGGCAAGTTGTCCCACAGTGAGTTGGCTGCAGAGAGCAGCCAGGGTGAGTCAGCCGGGGTGAGTTGGCCACAGTGAGTGGTCCAATTCTGGTTTTGATTGGATATGCCACTACTGATATCACTTTGATTTTCTTGCTTAGGGAGTTTCAGCAGCCACAATTTATATCCATTATTAGATTTCTAATAATTTGATTTTAGATGTCCTCTTCCCTTGTTCTTTGACATGTTTAATTAATCTCTATGTCACTATTTATTGCCACAGGGCTTTCAACTACCTAAGCCTCCTGAGCCACCATCAGTGGAAGTTGAATATTATACTATTGCAGAATTCCAGTCTTGTATAGCTGATGGAATAAGCTTTCATGGAGGACAAAAAGCAGAGGTAAGATTAAAATAGGAAATGAGTCAATGATGGATAGTTGTCATATAGTGAGCAAAAATCAAAGAGAAGCTTGGATTAAAAAATGTATTAGTGTTTTGCATCCATAATTAATTTATGATTTAATCCTTCTCTAGGTTATTGACAAGAATTCTGGGGGCTGGTGGTATGTCCAGATTGGAGAAAAAGAAGGCTGGGCTCCAGCATCATATATTGATAAAAGGAAGAAACCTAATTTAAATAGGCGAACAAGTACTCTGACCAGGCCCAAAGTTCCTCCCCCTGCTCCTCCTAATAAAGTAAAAGATTCTGAAGAAGTAACAGCTTCTAGTACCACAGCTACAGGAGATGGCCAAGATTCCCCATACAAGCAGAGATATGAGGAACCAGAGTATGATGTGCCTGCCTTTGGTCATGACTCAGAATCTGAACTGAGCCAAGGAGAAGATGGTAACTCAGAGAGAAGCTCTTTCCCCCTTCCAAAACCTTCCCCTGGATCATCTCTCCAAAGAGCAAAATTTCAAGTTGGAGAGTCTTCTGATGATGTGACTCATGAAGAGGAAACAATCTATGAAAATGAAGGCTTTAGATCTTACATAGAAGATGCACTGTCAAGCAAGGAATCTAGTGGAGATTCTGATTCTAGAACTTCCTCACTATCTTTGATCCAAAGAAATTCTCCACGTTCACTTTCTCCTAAATCCTCCCTTCTGAAACCTAAAAGTATTCAAACAAACTTTGGGAAGTCTCATTACAGTCACAATGAGGAGACAAAGCCAAGATCAGCCTCAGATGCTGGCCTAAGTAGTATACCCAAATCAAGCACAAAAAGGGATACTGGAGAGCTCATGTCTAGCAGAGCAAAACCAATGGTGAGGCCAAAACCATTTCTGAACAAAGCAGATTCTCAGAGTCAAGAAATTATGAACATCAGTACTTTACGTAATCATCTGAGACCAACTAGGCAACTCAGAGGTGGACTTAAAGGTTCAAGAAGTGAGGAGTCTGAAAGTCCACCTCAGACAATGTCTGGAAACTCTGAAGAGTCTTTCAGAAGAAATTCTGCAGAATTCATTACATCTCCTTCCCATACCTTATTTTACGCCAGCCAGCTAGCCAAAACAGAGAATGAAAGCAATCCCTCAAAATGTCTGTATATAACCACTGATTCGTATCAAAAAGTTCAAGATTCTGAAATCAGTTTCCCTGCTGGAATAGAAGTGGAAGTATTGGAAAAGCAGTCAAGTGGATGGTGGTATTTGAAATACGGAGAAATAGAAGGGTGGGCTCCTTCTCATTATCTGATACCTTTTGATAACCAGCAACAAGAAAACACCTCCAGTGGAGGAGATCCCACATCCAACATTTCACAGGCAAGAAACAGAAGAAATGAAAGCAAATCCAATAGCTTGGAGAAAATAGAGAAGAAGGTCCAGGCACTGAATACTATCAACCAGAACAAAAGAACACCTCCTATTCCTAATAAGCCACCTGGTGGCTTCTCCAAAACATCCGGACCTGTTAAATTGCGAAATGGAGTTAGACAGCTAGCAGTGAGACCACAGTCAGTGTTTGTTTCTCCACCACCCAAGGATAATAATCTGCCTTGTTCCCTTCGTAGGAATGAGTCTCTTTCTGCCACAGATCATTTGAGGGCCGTACGTCGTAATTCATCTTTCAGTGCTACCCAATCCCAAATGAATGAGTCTAAAGTAAAACATGATGGTCGATTGGGTTCTGAAGGGTCAGATAATGCCTCCTACATACCAACAGATCGCAATGGAATTCCAGTGTCCACTGTCAGGCCCAAGCCCATTGAAAAATCCCAGTTCATTCATAATAACCTTAAGGATATTTATATCTCCATTGCAGATTATGAGGGAGATGAAGAAACTGCTGGGTTTCAAGAAGGTGTCTGCATGGAGGTATTGGAAAAAAACCCAAATGGCTGGTGGTACTGCCAGATCATGGACAGTGGGAAACCATTTAAAGGCTGGGTGCCCTCAAATTATTTGGAAAAAAAGAAATAGTCTTGCCATGTATTTAAATTCACTAATTTATACTACCCTATGGTGTACATTTGGAAGAAGGAAAAAGATAGAAAGATCTATTTCCTTTACACTATTGTACATACACAGGACAATTCAGTTTTGCTTGTGGCCCAGAAAGTCGGCCATCTTTTAGGAAGTTTTGAAGGAATACTCTCATTCTGCAAGTATCAAGAAAATACAGCTGGAATTAATGCCCTTTTATTTTCTTTTTCCTCCCCACAAAGATGTGCATCAGGGTACATTATCCTATCTCCTGATTTTAATACTCAGAAACAAATGTGTGCCTTTCACATTCTGGTTTGGAATTATGGGTTTATTTGGGATTGATTGGGAGTTTGATGCCAAATCCAAACGTGTTTTATAAAAAACTCTGCTTAAACATTTCTCCCATGTGATGTGGCCATAAATGGTATTTGGTTGATCCCCACTTCACCCAAGATGTGTGGGGAAAAGAGCAAGTGGAGAAAATTTTCAAGAAACCATCACTCAACTATTGCATTCTGGTCTCTAGATTGAAGATCTGAAACGGTTTTTTTTTCTTCCATTTCTGGTACTGAATTTGAATCACTTATTGTTCTGCTTCCTCCAGTACCTTAGTTTTTTCTTTTCTCATATCCCTTACTTGTCAGCTGGGTCAGAAATGGGGAGGGGTATTTTTTAAAAAGTTATAAGTGGACTTTGAAGTGTAATCCAGTTTTATGTGGTTCCCTAATGTTTGTAAACACGCTAAAACTATGAGTTGCACACAATCTTTTCTGCACATTAGTTTCAACTTTAATATTTTCCTTTTGTGGCCTTCTGAATACTATGTACTAAAATTATTTTGAGAGTACTTGCCAGACAACTCAGTTATTCAGAGTTTCAGATATCAACTAAGAATTAATCAAGTTTCATCTAAATCCAAAGATGAAAAGAGGAAGACCTGTAATACAACCTGCTTCTCTTTTTGTTGGGTTATGGCCTGTTATGGCTTGGCTTGGCTAGACTAGCTTTCTAAGGGAGGGGAACGCCTTTCTCAAACATCTGCTTCTTCTCATCTTCTCAGGCTCGACCTTTCAGCTGTGACAGAGTTGCATTGGGTTGCACATACCCTGCTTTCACCAGGACATTGGTCTTGCTGTGCTGCTCTTTATCTCAAGCCCTGCAGGACTCCTTGCTTTTGTAGTCCTGGAGGGAGGAGAGGGAGGAGGATCCATCAGAGAAACCCTGCAGGTGATGCTTCTCCTCTCACTGTGCTATGGTCAGAACCAATTCTGCGGGGTCTGTGTGTGACTCTTCACCATGTCCATTATGTGAAAGAGGACAGTTCAAATCAATAGAACTTTCCTGAACAGATCATGGCAATTAGCATTACCATCATAAAGAGAAAAATAAAAAGGGCAGAGCTGAGTTGAGCTGACTATGCATGCCACACTGAAAACAACAAACAAAATTTGCTTCCACACCACGGGCCATTGTCTGGCTTCTTTTGTTATGAAGGGAAGGGTTTGGCATGTTTTCAACATTTATATCACCAATGGGTATGAACAGGCAAGAACATGAAAATCACTTCATGTAAGGAGGCAGTTTCCCAATCCAGCAGGCTGTATGTTTGTGAAAAATTATTTATTTTCTTCCTTGAGTACTTCACTGAGAAGAACGTAGGCCACCCAGAATTAGTTTCATGTTGCAATAAAAAGAGTATCAAAAGAGGTGCTTTGTGTGCACATCTGAATGTTGATGGTTCATCAAGTTTCTCTTCGTTTCATGTCCAGCCAATGCCGATCCTTACCTGGCAGAGAAGCATCTATATTATCAAAGTCAGAATGGAAATGAGCAAAAGCCATGGATGTTACCAACTGCATACTTCGCTTTAGTTTATATATGAGAATAAAAGAGAGATTTTTATTAGTAAACACCAGACTTCTGAACAAGTCTTTTTTAAAGAACAACAATACAAATTATTTTGTTCTTCTCAGTTGGAGATTAGTTTTGTACCTATAGATATTGTCAAAGGGTGATTGAACAGAGCACCATTAGACTGGGAATGTTAAAAAGCAGGAATTCTGTACTCATGTATCCTCTTTTGCCTTTTTATTTATGATTTCAGATGCTTTTTTAAAAAAATGAGATTTGGTGGGAAAGCATAAACATTAAAACCACTGGGGTTTGTGCAAAGGCTTTGGGTACAAAGTGTGTTTATATTTTGATGCATTTTCATTTATAGCCTTTCAGTGAACTTTGTAATTGGTAAACAACAGCAACAACACACCAGAAGGCCTTTATTTAAACAATATGGAAATCAGACAACAGATTTATCACCATTTTGAAGCCCAATATTTTATATGGAAAATGAAGAAAAGACTGGGGGTTTTTAGGGAGAAAATGTTAAATAATTCTCCAGCCACGGTCTTACATTCTATCACTAGAAGATGAAAGAATTGGAAGATTTTTAATAAGGTCCAACTCATCTTTTTCTGAACAATTAAAAATTAAGTATATTTTGAGATGTTTTAGCTTTCTGAAAATTACATAATTATCACTTAATTCTTGCCTCTTTTCTTTTTTTGTGGTGTGTTACATTACATTACATTATAAAAATAACTTGAGGGATTGATTTCCACGCCTTGTGTGATTGATGCCTTTCAAGTTGATCTTTAACAGTGCATCATCACTGCTACTCTCCATGCTTCTACAATGAAATAGCATGGAAGAAGAGGCCTGGAGATGAAGAGGAAACCTAACAGGTCTCTGTAAGATCAATAATAATAAATTCATTAGGAGAAAACAGGTTTCTACACCACAGTGCATTTGAAAATGGTGTAGTTTTGCCCAAAGCTCCTTTCTATGAGGTTTTACATCTCACGTGTTTCCTCAAATTTATGTTTTGTTATAAAGTGAGCAGCAATTTAAGAGACTTCCAAAGCTGCTTGTTTTTAAAATAGTATTATTTTCTTCTGCTGGACAGTATTAAATAGAGCAAAATCGTCAAGTAATCTGCTAGATTGCAGTACTAATATTAGTGATTTAGCAACACATATTAATGTTTATGATTTTAAAAAAACAATAATGATGATGAAGTGGTTCATTATTTTTGAATTAATGCACTTTAACCATTTTAAACCAAAATGCAGGAAAATCAAGTGCATTATTTAAAGATGCAGTATAAATTGTCATTTTAAGAACATCTATTTATTAAAATAATTTATGATTATTTAAAATTTGTACTATACAGTTTTGCTCCAAAGATGCCATCATCTCTTGGGAAAGCTAAAAGTGCAGCTCCCAAAAATCCTGCACTGAGCCATCAAGACTTTTCAAATACAGGAGATTCAGGTAGCCAGAGTCAAATTTTTGCCCAAGAAGGGATCAGTATTCCTTGCTGTACAGAAGCAAATTGGTTTGTAATATTCCAAATTGGTTTTTGATTATCTCAGCACTGGGGAGTTATGTGTACAGAATTGATACAAAAAGGATCAAGAGATTTTGAAAATATTTTTTACAGATTTCCTAAAAGGCATTAGTGATTTATCTCTTTAGTACTACCCAGCCTTCAGCCAGTCCTGTTGTTGCATCTACAGGGTTTTTTAAAAATAAATTTTATTAATTTTCTATTAATTACATTTCTTAGTGCTTAGTGCTGTTTTTCGGACCAGGAAAGTCACTGAGTTCATTTTGAGACTAAAATGAAATTTTAAAGAAAAAATTAAGTTCTGCAAATTCTTAAGAGAAAATTCATGTAAATATGAATTGCCCATATTTTTAGTAAGGAGAATAGCTTTCCATACTGTTCTCTTTCATAGCTGCATTTTTTTATACATCAGCAGTATTGAATTGGCACATGTAAGGACTGGTTTCTTTATGATTAGAACAGTTATCAGACAATAAATCAATTTGCTTATCAATTTGCATTTTATGCATTATAAATGTGAGCCTTGATTTGTCCTATAAAACTGCCCCAATAATATAAAAAATTACATAAATATAGTTGGATAGGTAGTTTTCTGGGCTAAACCAATTTATCATTTGTTATTTTAAATATATGTATGTGTCACATTTCTAGAAGCTTTATGTAAGGGAAATCGTAGCTGATTTTATAGTATATGGAAGTAATATCTAGGTTCAAATACAGGGAGAAGGATAAATAAAGGGCACTTTCAAGCACCTTCTTAATTTAGTCAGTTTCACTGTTTCTCACATGTAATCTATAACTTGCCCTTGTAAATATTAGGTATATTTTTAGGGATTGGATAATTCAAATGTCAGCGCTAAGCCAATGCACAAAGAAATACATTGAAATCCTGGTCATGAGGCTGTAGCTTTCCCCATCAAAATATCTGCCAATTCTAAAATTATTTTGATCATAAGCCTGATTTAAAAAAAAAAAAACTATATAGTACTTTCAAAATGATCTAGATCTCAATTTTTAAATATTCTGGGTTCTAATTGAATATTAAGCCAAAGTTAGCTATAGTTAGAGAAGAGTGGATTCTGATCATTTCCGGGTTCTTTAAATTGCCTTGGTTTTCAACAAGAACAATTAAAAATGCAGGTTGATATTTTGACAAAACCCAAACAAAACTTTTTTTCTGCTGTATACTGCAACTTTAATAATAATGAGCACTTCTGAATTTGTTATTGCGGATTTATATAATGCCTGAAAAAAATACTCTTGCTTTTTTTTCTTAATTTCTACATTTTAGTAAGTTAAGTTTAAAGCTTATTCCTTTTTAAGTACATATATTTTAATACCCAAGTAATATAAATTAGACTTGTAATGATGTGGTAATAAACCACAGGTTTTTTTACAAATTTGAAATGGTTCTATTTTTCTGAATCCATTTATTCAGCAAGGGAACAGAGGTTTAGACTGAGAAAAATCAGTCTAAATATTCCTTGGGTTCACTGAATTAGTTTCACAATTCTTTGACTCTCTAGAGCAGTGTTTTAGAAAATTGACAACTTTAACATTTGCGTGGATTTCAACTCCCAAAATTCCCTAGTCAGCACTGATTGGGGAATTCTGGGAATTGAAATTCACACTTCTTAAAGTTGCCATATTTGAACAATGGTGCTTTAGTTATTTAGGCCCCTACTGAAATCTACCTTTCTGAAAAAATAGGTTCTTTAATTTTTTTAACAGATTTGTGTCCCATTGATAGAAGCTGAAACAAATGAACAACTACACATGCATTTATACTGCAGTAGCAACTACATTTGTTCCAATGAACTGGTTCCAAAGTCTTCCTTTCAGAAGCAACACTGAACATTTTGACGATGGCATTATAGAATTGTGCTTTTCAGAACTACTTTTGAATATTAGAATAGCTTATTTTAATTTAAAGTTATGCTTATTGCTTCTCTCCAATTATAAACAAAATTGTTACTGCTTTTTGTCATTTATCAAAAAATGGAAGGGAAACTGGTAAAGAATTATTTCATTATTAGCATTTATTAGCATTACTATAGCTATAGTAATATTTAAGTTTAGATCATCTTGAGTAATTTGTTCATTATATATTTCTTAATTATTGTTATATTTTATCCAATATTTGCATTCTCAGTATAGTATCCAAATAGAGGATCAGTGCAATATTGAAGGGCAAAAACAGGTCCCTCATCCAGGATTTGAAGTGGATGCACAGTGTGATTTTAAACTTCTGTCATTTTTTTATCATGCACTCTTAAGGGGGGGAAAAAACATGAGGATTGAGGAAAGTTGAATCACAGCAGAAGTAAGCAGGAAGTGGAGGAAGAAAAGTTTTGGGGTGGAAACGGCTGTGTAACTTTGAAATTGGCAGTAGAAGTTTATCACATTCAAATAGTATGACATCTTGATGGTTCACTGGCTACTCAGCTGTCCCCTTTCTTTGCAATGTTCATGTTCCATATTTTTTTGTAGCCATGTGCACTCTTTAACTTAAGCAGAAGTTCCAAATTTTTATCTTGATTTGCATTGATGTCAGACTGAATAGATATGTATTTATTTATACATATAGATAGACTGAATTTATCATGCTATAGAACAAGGGTCTTCAAACTTGGCAAGTTTAAGACTTGTGGACTTCAACTCTCAGAATCCCTGAGCTAACATGACTGGAGGAATTCTGGGAGTTGAAGTCCACAAGTCTTAAAGCTATCAAGTTTGAAGACCCCTGCTATAGAAGCATGAAATAGATCCTGGAGGCTGGAACAGAAGTTGTCACACTGAAAGCATGTTGACAAAGGGCACTTACTCTTTAAGTCTGCATGAAACACAAGAAGTAAATGCTTGAAATAGTCTGTATTGAATGGTATCTTAATACTCAGTCTGTTCCAGAATTAGACTGTTTAACAACGGAAACTTCTGTGAAGTTGCGGTTTGATCTCTCCTTTCTTAAAAGAAAAGATTCAGAACTTTATTAACTCATCATCACTAAAGTAGCATATAAATAAAGTGTCTGGAGAAAAGTATTTATGACTTTATTGTAAAGTAAAATGCTTATGTTCAGATGCTTGACACTTACTTGACTTCATGGAAATTATCTTAGCCATTTACCTAATACATCACACTGAACTGAGTGAAATGTCAAATATGCATACAGAACCTGGACTATAAGTCAACCTTTCTAGAAGCGGTAGTTTTCAGAAACTGGGACATATCTATACTTCTTGAAATTAGAAAATCAAACTCAAGTCTGAATTTCACTACTCAGTGATTTTTTTCTCTCCAAAGAATGTCCTTTTCCCATTTAAAAATCACTTTTTAATATATAAATAATTTTATTGAAGTTTTTAATAAAACATGCTTTTCTTAAATACATGTCTATAAACAACACAAGCTTTTTAATGGAATATGAATAAGCAGAAAATAGTCTTACAATTTAGCCAGTACTGGACATCTTAGTTTAACATGGGAATACATAGCTTAACAAAATAACCTCTCTAGAATTGCTTTTCTAAATTAGGGAAGTGATAGCAAGGATGCCTTTCTTCATGCTATCAGTGTCTTGCTAAAAGGAACATCACTTATTTTCTTGTTTTTATATTCTCATTGATTACTTGAGTGCAACAGACTCCAGTCAGGTTTGCTTTTAGAATATTCTTGTTAAGAGTCGTATTTTGTAGTCTGATAAAATACAGAGTCTGCACATGCAAAGAAAATTTGTGACTTTAACAATACCTTTAATATCAACCATAGTTTGATACTAAATTGTCAAAATCAGAAAAACCAGCCATATATTTTATGGCTAAATCAGGGGTACTTTACATAATCTTAAATCTTTAACAGGTACAAATTGGTGGAGCATAAGTTTTGTAAATATTTTTTTCAGGAGGATTATGGAGAAATAGTCTTTATGTTTTTCATAAATGTGTACAGATTAGTGGAAAGTACATGAAAAACTTATCAGGTTCCAAAATTGCCTTCTAGACTTGTAAGATTACTGCTGGTATGTCATTCATCTATTTAGTTAATTGTAAATGCTAAATCAAGGGCTTAGGAATCAAGTGACTTTTTCAAGTATCCTTGGAAGTCCATGAATTAGTCCAGTTCCTTTAATTGAT